TGCGCGCCAGTCCACAAAACCCTGGCCTTTAGGGTTTACCAGTAAGCTTTCTGGGTCGCAATTTGAGCAGGGCGGTCACGAGTCAGCCACTCGGCCTCCCTAGCTCAGTCGGTAGAGCGCAAGACTCTTAATCTTGTGGTCGCCGGTTCGAGCCCGGCGGGAGGTGGCTAGCCTTTTGCGGAGCAGAGTCGCATATCAGTGCAGCGGCACGCGGTGCCTCAAGCCAGCGACAATGGCACGACCACGGGAACCAGTCCTGGCGAATTCAGCGGCACGCGGTGCCTCAAGCCAGCAATAATGGCACGACCACGGGAACCAGTCCTGCCGACGACGAGGCCACAGGTTGGTTGTACAAAGGCCAGTGGGAGCTAGCCCTGAGATGAGAACGACAACTGCTATTTGTCGTCTTAATAAGGGGAGGCTGGGCTGACCGGCAGCCCAGGGGCGCTGGCCGGGCGTGTCAGCATCTACAAAGGACCTATCGCCAACAAGTTCCGCACACACCAGACCTAGGGCAACAACAGCGTTAAGAGCAGGAAAAGCAGCGCCGGCAAGACAAAGACGAGGCCACATCATAGATGCTACAGGAACGAGAGCAGGAGGTGATAGCACTAGTTGCAATCCAGCCAGGCGCCCACTGCGCATGTGTGGACAGTTGTGCGTACGTACACAGCTCAATATGGACGCTAGGGACCCACCTGAGACGACCTGTCGCAGTTGGCACCCCTCAATGTGTCATGGGATTAGGACTAGGGTTAGGAATGTTACAGCGTCTCGCGGTCGCCCGCTCCTGGAGCCATCCAGACTCATGGGATTGTCCAGTAAAGCACCAACGTTGTTTGACTGAGGTTCAGGCGGCTACCGTGCGCCGTTCGAAGCAGGCGTGCACGAAGGCCCCCAATGTGTGCTGATCCGCGCTGCGCGCAAAGGCGCGCATGCGTGCAAGCGCGGATAGATTTGCAAACAAAGGCGCAAAGCGCGGCTCGGCCCGCAGGTCCGCGTATGCGGGGCAATCAAGCAGGGCATGTTCAGCCGTTTCGTCACGGCCCAGGCCGTCGCAGTGGGGGCAATGCAGTGGGGGGGTTGTAATGAAGAGTCGGTGACGCAGCAAAAGGGGGGGAGCAGCAGTGCAGGCGCATCAGAGCCCGCGCATGTTGGTGGTCATGAGGGGGTCGCCTGCAGTTGTGCACCTACCACACGGTAGATGTGAACCCTGCACGAACAGTCAAGTACAGTATGATGAGCGTCATACTTGACCCCGCATTTGGTGAGCCACGCTCATATTGCTGGCTCGGCGGCCCTGCATCCCAGAGTCATAAAATAGCATGGATCCATGACGGCGCAGTATGGGGTCGCCATCCCCAGAATCATGGGCGCTTGCTCGCACAAGGAATGAGCGCGCATGCTGCCTGTCTAGCCTCAACTCCATATGCGCAACTCATCGCACACACACATACACAAGAATTTTATGGATTACCATGCTGGACAAGCCTGGTGCGGAACTCGATTGGGCTCAGATGACGGGGACGGGTCTCGTTACGGCCACACCAGCGCACGTGTGCACTTGCGCAGCTGCTCAGGCGGCTGCTGCGTGGTGGCGCCTAGCCACCGCATCCAACGTGTGTGGGCGCGAAGAGTGCGCGTGGTGAGTGCGTTTTTATTTTGTTTGAGTGAAGTGCACAGCTCTGGGGACCGACCGCGCACGTTCACAGATCATTGAAGAGGCCGCGAAAGTTCTAGCCTTCACACGCTCGAGAGCCAGCCTCGCGAAAAAGCTATGGCGTACCAGCAGCAACAGCAGCAGCAGGCAGTGGTGGAGCACGGACGGGAACCGTGCCCCGACCGAATTCTAGGTGCAGACCCGTGCGCAGGGATCACTGTGCCGCGCTGTTTCAGTGCATAATGCATGATGCGAAAGCCCACGCGCTCGGGGATGGCTTCTGGCAGCCTCGGACGTCGTGCTGCTGCTCGGCTGCAATGTGCTGGGGAGCGCCGGTGTGCTGGGAGCGCCCGCGCATGCCGCAGCCCACGGCTGGATATGTTTTACCCTGTTGACATGCGCAATAACCACCGTAAATGAATGGCCGGCTCACAGACGATATCGGCGGCGCGTTTGGCATGGGCGCGCTTGGCGGCGGCCTCTGGCACACCTACCGTGGTCTCAAAAACTCGCCCAAGGGCTACAAAATCGCGGGCACGCTCGAGGTGAAGGGGCCTGTAACCATGCATTCACTCCACGACCACTCGTGGAGTGATTATCCACGAGTGGTCGTGGATATTCACTCTCCGTTATATCCACGACCACTCGTGGCTGTGCCCCAGATTGCTGAGCAGCACAAAAGGTCTTTCCTGTGATGCTGCATGACGGCAAGTTCTTACTCACCCCCCTGCCGTCTCCTCCTCTGTTCCTCGGCAGACGCTGCGGCGAGAGTCCCCGCGTATTGGTGGCAACTTTGCTAACTGGGGGCTCATGTTTTCGGTGTTTGACTGCTCCTGCATGTACATTCGGCAAAAGGTGCGGCGGGCCTGAAGCCCGGCCGCAGTCGCTGGCTCCACTAGGCGGGGCCGGCGATGCGCGCTGCCCAGTGAGGCGTCGGCAAATGTCCGCACAGCGGCCGCCCTGATGGCTGTCTAGGGCATCCGACAAGCAAAGCCACATCTACAGAGTTGCTCCTCTAGGGGTCAGGACTCGGACGGCAACAAGGCTGTGCCAGTGCGCCTCATCGGACCTGCCTGCCAGCATGCGCAACCGCCCGGGGAGATCTGCATGTTCCATGCACCTGCACCCACACGCGCATGCCTCGACCGGCTGCCCCAAGCAAAGCGCACCCTGAAACTACTTGTAGGAGGACCCCTTCAACGCAATCATGGCGGGGGCGCTGACCGGCGGCTTCCTGCAGATCCGCTCCGGCCTCAAGCCCGCCTTCCGCTCTGCAGTCTTTGGCGGTGTTCTGCTGGTGCGCGCCCCGGCCGCTG